ACCCGCCCGCGGCCCAGGGCGGGCCCGGCCCGGCCTGTTGACAATGTGAATATTCACATTGACATGTTAACATTCACATTGATAAGAGTATAAAATTGGCCAGCAGCCTAGGGCGGGCCCGGCCAAGCCCGTTGACAATATGAATATTCACATTGACATGTTAACATTTAGATTGATAGGAGTGTAAAATTAGCCCATGCCTCGTGGCTGTCCGAAACCCGCCCATGGCCCGTGGGCGACCCGAGGCGAGCCTGGCCATTTTTTTTTTAATTCTTTTTAATTTTTTGTACCAAAATTTTATTATTTTTTACAAAAAAAGACACTAGGCCTCGGCGTGAGCCGAGCCTTCGACTGAGCCTTGAATGGGCCTTAACCGGGCCGATAGGCCGGGCCAAGCTTCAAAGTGATGGCCCAGGCCCTAGCCTAGGGTCTCGGGCTAGGCTTGAGCCTGGGCCCAAACGAGCCTTTTCTGGGCTGGGTCGGGCTGGCCTATGGGCCAAAAAATTAGGCCCAGGCCCTAGCCCTGACACAAGGGTATTCGGGCTTTGAACGGGCCGATGGATCGAGCCTCGGGTCAGGCCGGTGGGCCAGGGTCTAGCCTCAAGCTTAGGTCGGGCTTGGGCGGGCCTGGCCATTTGTTTTTAATTTTTTTTAATTTTTTTACCAAAATTTTATTATTTTTCACAAAAAAATACATTGCGCCTCGGGCGGGCTAGGCCTCGGGCCAAGCTTTGAATGGGTCTTAAGTGGGCCGATGGGCCGGGCCGGGCTTCAAAGTGATGACCTAAGCCCTAACCTAGGGTCTCGGACATGCTTGGGCTCGGACCGAAAGGAGCCTGCCCCGGGCCGTGGGCGGGCTTCGGACAGCTCACGGGCCGCGGGCCAATTCTACATTCCTATCAATGTGCATTTTAACATGTCAATGTGAATATTCACATTGTCAACGGGCCGGGCCGGGCCTACCCCGGGCCGCGGGCAAGCTTCGAGCAGCGAGCAAATTTTACACTCTTATCAATGTTAATGTTAACATGTCAATATGAATAATCACATTGTCACGAGTGGGGCCAAGCCCGCCTCGGGCTGCGGTTGGGCTTCGGGCCGCCCACGGGCTGCGGGCCAATTTTACACTCTTATCAATGTGAATGTTAAATGTCAATGTGAATATTCACATTGTCAACGGGCCAGGTCGGGCCCGCCCTGAGCCGCTGGCCAATTTTATACTCTTATCAATGTGAATGTTAACATGTCAATGTAAATATTCATACTGTCAACAGGCCGGGCCAGGCCCACCCAGGGTCGCCTATGGACCGTGGGCGGGTTTCGGGCAGCCACGAGGTGTGGACTAATTTTACACTCCTATCAATGTGAATGCTAACATGTCAATGTGAATATTCACATTGTCAACGGCCTGGGCCGAACTCGCCCCTGGCGACGGGCGGGCTTTTGGCTGTCCATGGGCCGCGGGCCAATTTTATACTCTTATCAATGTGAATGTTAACATGTTAATGTAAATATTCACATTGTCAACGAGCCGGACCGGGCCCACCCCGAGTCGCCCATGGGCCGCGGGTGGGTTTCGCGCCACCACGGGATGCGGGCCAATTTTACACTCCTATTAATGTGAATGCTAATATGTCAATGTGAATATTCACATTGTCAACGGGTCGGGTCCGCCTCGGCTCGCGGGCGGGTTTCGGGTCACCCACGGGCCAATTTTACATTCCTACCAATGTGAATTTTAAAATATGAATGTTCACATCATAAAATTGCTAACCGTTCAAAAAATATTTATAAGGGTATCAAAATTAAATATAAGGGCATAAGTGTCCAAGAAAATAATGTAAATCAAGAAAAAGGGATTTATGGAATAAAACTATACATACATGGGACTAAATGGGTTAAAAAATTCATTCATGGACTTCTTGAGCTAAAACATTTTTAAATGGGATTTATCAATAAAAATCCCTATAAAATTAGAAGAGATGAAAACGAGTTATTCTTATTTAAATTTATAATTTTAGAAATATTTAAAATAACTTACAAATATTAGAGGTAAAAAAAATATTTAATATATTTAATATTAGAAATTTTTTTTGCTTATCATGTGAAAAATTAAAAATTAATACCGTTTGCATAGAATTTAACGAAACTGGTTCTTTTTGAAAAGAAAAAATGTATATATTTTTTACTGTTTTTTTAAAGTTAGAAAGTAGAGTCAATTTCAAACTGTCTTGGGCCTGCCAACACTTGGGCTGTGGTTGAAACCGCCACAAAGTATAAGATGGGCCCACAGACTATGGTGCGGGTCGGGTTCTGTAGAGTCCATTAGGAATTGGAAAGGATTTAAAAATGCGAACCAGCTTCATTCTGCTACTCCGATAATTAAATCAATGAATGAATCATAATTATATTTCACGCTTTTTTTAATTTTTTTTATTATTTTTTTATTTTTTTAAATCATGAACGAAAACAGTGTTAATAAACAACTCCTTATTCTAGTTTGGTATTCAAAACCCAAAAACCTAAAACAACTTCAGTTGTATTTTTTATTTTCTTTATTTGTTAATTTTTTAAAAACAAAAATAATAAACACATTCATTATTTTTATTTAATTTAAATTTTTGTGCTAAAATAACTTTTAAAAAATTTTAAACTAAATTCTGGTTTTTTTTTTTTCTTTCTAAAAGTTGGTTTGTAAAATATTCCCAAAATGTTTTCAGTAATGATGTGTCAAACAAATTTTTTTTTTAAATAAATAAAAACAAGAAATAGAAAGCAAATACGCAACCAATGAATCAAATAGGCCCTAGATATTGGTCACATTTTAATAAGAAAATAAAATAAGTGTTGTGATTGTCAATTGTATTGGATCACAATCAAACAAAGCTTTGACTCTCAACTTCCATCTTCCTTGAGAAATTTGAAGTTTAAATTGAGTAAATTGTTAATTGGCTGTAAAATATATCAGGGTGATTCTGTGTTTGGGGTTTGCATATTTTTTTTTAAAAAAAATTGGCTTAGTTTAGCTTTTAGTGATTTTTTTTTATATGAAAAACTTAGACTTCTAAATTCAGTTCAACAAAATATGTCAGATGGTTTTTTTTAAAAAAAAAAAAATCAGAGAAGACAAAAATAAATAAAAATGATGGACTCTATTTTTGTTTTAGAAACACATGGTAGGCTGGGATCACTTTCGAGACACAACCTACATTTAATTGATCAAATAAAATTTCAATAACTTGGTATAAGAACATAGAAAATTTGCTCTTGTACCTATGAACCATGGGTGTGGGTACAGGTAAGGATATGAGTATGGATACGATACAAGTATACTGATACAACAAATTCTTAAAAAAGTAGGGTACGAGTACAGTTGGAATACATTTTTTTTTTTTCCAAATTTATTGAAAAATCTAGAAATCCGCTAGATATTATTTTGTGATTATGTGTCAATTTAAAGTAATAAAGCAATTCTAATCAAACAATCAAGACAAATCGATACAACAATTTTAACGTAAAAAAACCACAATTGGAGCACCTCCAATTGTGATAAAAAAATCACGGGCAACAGGCACAAAACAATCTACTAAGAAGATATAAAGGAATTACACAGGTATACTCTCAATTACCTAGCGAATCCACGCCCGAATTGAACCAGCCCCTATGTTCATCTTCCAACCCTGTCTTCACCTCAGAATTGTCTTAACGATGGGCCACTCCAGAATCCACCAAAACTTCAGGCTCGAATTCTTCAGAATCCACCGAAGAACAACTCTCTCTTTTGCGTAGAATGAACAAACAAACCTTTGATGTATTCTTCTTAACCCATGAGTTGAATACTTAATTAAACATAAAAGAAAACTAGCAAAATATCCCCAGATATAAACCTTAAAATCTGAAAAGTAAATAATCCTAAAATCTGATAGAAACACGTACTTATAGAAATCTGGGGCTGCGAAGCTCACTCGCAAGTGAGAAACTCATCTTGCGTGATTTCCATAAGTGGCTTCGCTCGAGCCACGCAACCTGCGCTCGAGAGCACATTCACCTCTCTCAGGTTTTTGCCAGACGCAGTCTTCGCTCGAGCGAGAACTCCTTCGCTCGAGCGAGCAAGGGTGGACAGGCAACTTCGAAAGTAATTTTGTATTTTGCTTCGGAGGCGCTGCCCCTCGACCCTACTTTTCGAAATTTTGCATTTTGCTTCAGGGGCGCTGCCCCTCGACCCTGCCTGGGAGTAGCTCGATCCCCGTCATAGTCAGCAAAGTGGCAATCTTGAAAGCATTAACATCACAAACTTCTCTGCAAGGCACAATTCGGGTTGGATTCGCATCTAAAAACTCATAGCCTCACTGAAATAAAAAGTGCGAAAATAAGTACAACTGAAAGGAGTTTTGTCAAAGGGGATTACGAAGAATAAAAACCTAACATTTATAATTAAACATCCAACATACAAATCAAAGTTTTAATGTCAAAACTAAAAAGAGAATAGCCTGTCTAAAAAGTTATATAATTCTTCTTTTTTTTTTTTTTTGATTGTCTAAAACATGATGCAAAAGAGAGCAAAACCATGACTCATGCGTAAAGGGTGATAGAAATAAATTACTTGCTGATTTTCAAAGTTGAAAGAAGAATAATAAAATTGCAACAAATTCTAACAGCTGCAAAAAAAAAAAAAAAAAAAAAAAAAAAAAAAAAAAAAAAATTTCATCTTCCCTT